CAACAACAACAACAACATCAACCATGACGACGACTTCGACGACGACTACAATGATCACAACAACACTAACACCTGCGCTGACTGACACCAACACCACAACCACCAGCAGTGCAGCAGCAGCAGCAGCAGCAGCCGCGGCGCCAGCAGCAGCAGCAGCAACAGCAGCAGCAGCAGCAGCACCCGAAGCAGCAACAGCAGCAGCAGCAACAGCAGCAAAAAGCAACGACCGCCACCACCGACGACGACGTCAAGCATCCCTGCCTGCGACAGTTGCAGTCCAAGCTTCTGGCAGTCCATCCTTTCGGGACGTCTAGCATGCAAGGGAAAGCATGCCAAGTCCACTGATGGCCGGCCTCACCCTGCCACTCGATCTCACTACCAGCTGCAGGCACCAAACCCCTTAACCGAACCCTTGAGTCTACCAAAGCCACACCACTCCCTGGCAACAGGGTTGAAACCTAAGCCTAAGCCCTCGGACCAGCAAGTGCTTTGATACCAGTGTACTCCGTTATACGGCATGGTTGTCTTTCAGTCTTTGTATCATCAGCCATGCCCAGGCGCTGAACTCGCGTCATGAGCTGACGGCGCAATTCGTAGATGCGCTCGTCAAACTGTCCTACGGGACGCTGCTCATACAAAGACCATGATGATGAGGATGGTGATGATGCTGATGTTAGGCCGTCGGGCGTGGTGATGATAAACACGAAGCTGACGGCAAGACCGGGCTTTCCCAAACTCGAAACACCACATGTCCTGCGCTGTCCGTCTCGTACCAAGAAGTGCGCCCCTGCCTGCACAAACAGTCGGAGGAGATTTGGGATGGAGGAACGCAGGACGGATTTGAGCATCATGGAAGCGATGTTTGTCAGTGCGTGTTGCCTTTGCAGCTCGGGCTCCTTAGCGATGGAGGTGTGGGACTTGAGCTCTTATGGCAGTTCAAGGCCCGTAAAGGTAGCATCATAATGTGACGGCGGGCGGGGTGCGTAACATTGAATCTGAGCCAACGAACGAACCGAGCCCACCCATGATCGTTGCCTGTGACTGCAGAATGAAACGCCCCTTAACACGACTTCAAGCATGTGGTCCCTGGAAATCACGAGTCAGCAATTCAAGTCATTCAAGTTCATGGGATGCGACCTTCCACACTGCAACCGAGGAACTCGTTTCGGGGTGCAGTCGGGAGCCAAAAGCGGGCGGATGGAATCGCCGAGGCCAGGGCGGAGACCTAGATGCGTGCGCGCGCATGCATGCACTTAACCGTGCCAGGAACAATCAGCAACAGCAGAGCCCGCAAGTGACTCGCAAGTACATGGATTACAATCTTCCGACAACCGCAACCAACAGTCCGAGGTCCGGACCACTGGCAACAAGTTGTGACCGGTGTCGCCTCGCCCATGCAGAAAGACGACCTCGTCACACATATTCTGTCAACATCTCATGGAATTCTGCCGGATTCTGCGGAATCTGAACCAGCCCAATGGTCGACGAGATGCGAGAGCCGTCGCTGGGCCCTGTAAGGGGCCGAAACCTTCCTCTGTGCTCTGCAATTGCACCTGAAGGCTTTTTGATTGCGGTGGTCAAACGCGTGTTCATCAAGACACCCACGTGCCCTAACGAAAACAACAAAAAGAGCATGAAGGAGAACGGCTTCAGTGTGAGGTTGGAGGTTGTTAACCCGAAACATACAAAGGCATAACCCAAACCCTCCCCGACGAAAGCAGTCCCTGGAAGGAGCACCAAACACAGGTTGCTTTGGACCGGTGATGTCAACCTCGAACCGTACCCGTAATCCTTTAGCCACGTACATGTTAAACCTATCCACTCATGCTTCAGATGCCACTTGGCTGAAAGAGTGCTTGCCTTGAAATCTTGTGGGCTAAGCCTTGGGGGCTTTGGATGAGGGTGTCGACTGATGGAGCCAAGGGTTTAGAAGGCTTTGGCTATGCGCTGGCCTAGACTAGACTCACTGGACATCTCCATGGCCGTTGCAACAATACATCGAATCGTATCCCCACCGCAGAAAACACCATCGCAGAAATCGACACCGCATCACAACGCATCACAATACCGCACCTCCAATGCTCCAACCCTCCCTCTCCAACCCTCCCCTCTCCAAGTCTGGAACGGTTGGAGGGAGTTGCAGGCTTGGAGGGCGGAGAGTTGCAGGGCTGGACGGCTGGGCTGGAGGGGCTGGAGGGCTGGCGAGGCTGGAGGGTTGGAGAGAGAGTTGGAGGGCTGGAGGGTTGGAGTTGGAGGGTTGGAGGGTTGGAGAGTTGGAGAGTTGCAGGTTTGGAGGGCTGGAGGGTTGGAGGACTGGTATCGAACCGCACCGCACCGCCAACAGCAATACCTAGCAATCCTGTACCGCATACAATCGCAAACCACCGCAAACCGATCGAACCGAGGTATTACAATCTCGACACGAATGTAGGTTGAATTGTGTACAGATGCCAGAATCCAACGCACAAGCGGCCAACCCATGTGAGCCAGCCTTTTGCATAGCCAGGCTTGCCGGCACGAGCAGCCATCCGGCCACACGTTTGAATGTGCTAGGTTGACAGATCTTCCGGGCTCAGGCTTCTACGACTTCTGTAATTTGCCTGCACCGGGGGTTAGGCTTATGGAATGGCCTGAATTACACGAAGTGTGCCTGCGATCAAGGAGCCGGGCTTCTTTGAGCCTGTCCTGCGAGACCATCTGGGGGAGCTGGGGCCGGCCAAACCGCCACACAGAGCTGCAACAAGGCAGGAGAGACAAGCTTTCAAACTTGTTAGCAATCAGGTCCCGGCGAAGGGATGCAATGCCAGCGGTTCAACAGTCTTTCTGCATCCGAATTCCACCTACATCCCACAGGAAGCTACACCAGGTTCCACAATCACGTACTGAAAGGTACTCATAATAACAGACCATAGCATACCATTTTTAAGACCCGACTCTCTGGGGAGGCCCTGAAGGCCTCGACAGACTCCAGAAGCAACTCGAGCTCCTTCCCTGGGTCGTCGTTTCGGGTTTGAGAACTCTTCTTCAACCCAATGAAGAACCTGATGCTTAGGCTGTATACATCCACAAGTCCCTGGCCAAAGTTTGGATGGTGTGGGGCTTTGAACTGTTCGATTTGAGGCCTGGGCTTCACTGAGGCCCGGGAAAGCAGGGCAGGGACTGGGCTGAAGAGCGCTACTGGAGTCTAGGGTCGTCAAACTTGATGTATCCCAACCAAACCTGAAAGGCCCCAGGTTCTATGTTTTATGCTTGACTGTTCTGGTAGCTGCAGGCTGTGCACACCGTTTTGGCTGTCCCATGTCCAAGCCCGGTGTTCAGGCTAAGTGGGAACCGCTCCCAAGTAAACGGCCCTGGATGGAGCCCCAAAAACCCGAAGAGTTCCGAGTCAAGACCTTGAGTGGTTACTCTGCTTACCTTTCCGATGCCGTCTCGAGGCTCTTTCTGTGATACGTGCGCACGAACAAGTCGACCGTGACATCCTTGCCAGGATGTCAACTCCGACTCTTCAGGTTAGAGGCTTCGAGCTTCGAGCTGTTGGCGTGAGCAGGTACTGTTTACGCCTTGATGCATTCATGTGATAGCAACGCATTGACATTTTGGACGGCATCTTTTCCAAACCCTGATCTCGGGGCAGAACTCGAGAACGCAACTCGATGAAGATGGACAGTGATCATGAGAAGAGTACTCTCATGCTGATCATGACGGCGGTCATGGCAATGCCAGTCGCGTGGTGATGATCATGCTGCTGCTGATGATGATGATGATGACGCCATGGTTTGGGTTGTTGAATTCGTGTTGTGCCACTGCACCGGATATGCTGTCATCGTCGCTCTACTCTCGGCGTTTCGACCTCTGCTACCACAGCGGAGACGACTACGAGGAATACTACCTTGCTAGCTTTCCTCTGCCCGTGTGACAATGAGCTATTTGAAGTGGTCCTGTCATTACAAGGCAGGTGACAGCTCTGCACTACAGTCGATAGCCGATCTTCCATCGTACTTGGATGATAATTCAAACATGTGTAAGCCCTTGCAGCAGCCAGTAATGAACCCTGAACCGCTGTAAACCGTAAAGCAGCAGGCCTGACCACATACCCTACATTATTTGCATCCCGGCCACAGGCCGCTTGGCAGGATGGCCTCAACCGAAGCACTGATTCACGTGAGAGACATCCGGAAACTTTGATCCCTAAAGTGCCCCGCCCAAGCCAGCTTTACCTGGCCTGCAATGAAGGTGTAACATAACGTAGAACATGCCAAAATCTACCTGCAAGCCGGTGCACGCCACGTTCCAAGCCATCTTGTGCGTTAAGTCACATGCAAATCTCCAAAATCGTCATCTCCGCGCCGACAAAATCAGATCCCTCAGCAGCCTGCACCATCCACGAGCGACGCGCGGTATCTAGGCGGCGCTGGCCTTGGCCAGGCAAAGGCCTCGGAGGACTCGGGCAGAGAGAGAAACCCGTTCAGACTCGAACGGAGCTGCAAAATGCTCTAGCATTTCTACCATATGAAGAGGAACCCTAAAGACTAATTGGTACTGGTAATTACTCGGGCCAGTTCGGTAAACGTGCAACTGGCAACAGTCACCGTCGTTACAAGCTGCTTGTCTTGTTGTGTCCGGTCGCACTTCTGCGACACCGCTACAGTCTTCGTGTGGACTGTAATCGTGGTACGAGGGGCGTCATCCTTCCACGGTTTCTATGCAACTTTTCCGCCCCTGCTTTCAGCAATTGTTCCTGCTAGTCCTTTGCGCCTGGTGAGTCGAGCCCAACATCCCACTCCAAATTCAACTCGCAACTTGCCAGTCACCACAACACTGCAAACAAAGCTCGGGAACTAGAGGCAAAGGAGGGAGAGTGGGAGACAAATGGAAACAGGCCTCACATGCGCGCACATGGTCACACATCCATCCATCAACAAACAGAACAAGCAAAAACGAGTTTGTTGTAAACAACAACTGGCTTGGGCAGCCTTCGTCCTACGAACTTATCTCATGCGCCAAGGAGAGCCACTACAGTACAAAACGAGGACCCCAGTAACTGCAACCTACAGCTTGACATCAAATGCGCCCTCAAGCTGCCTCGAAGACCTGTGGCCCCAGGCTTCTTTCTGTCTCATGCCATTCTATAAGCTGGCGTGCTGCAGATCAGCTGCACATCCCCTCTCGACATATGTTGACCAAGTTCCTGCCCGAAACTTTGTGATGGCCTCTTGCATTGCGCTACACATACCTGATCCTACAACTCGCGCTGGAACCAAGTTCTGGGCTCTGTAGTTCTGGGTCTAGGAAGGGGTCTAGAAAGTCGGCAGCTCCAGAGAAGCATCTCTTTGGCTTCGGAGGCAAAAGTTGGAGTTTTCAGACTCAGGATCCTCTGGCTCAGGGTTCCCTGTCGGGTGTCCAACCTATATACAGCATTTCTTGGCATCAAAGCTGGCCGGAGGTGGTGACAGGCGACAGTGACCCTGACCTGAATCCTCAAACCTAAGCTCTGTCCCCGTGATCAGGCAAGCCCTCCAGCTCTGGTGTCCTGGCGTACAGAGATTGCTCGGATCTCAAGCGGCACAATCTGCACAGGCGATGCAGGCGAGCGAACCAGAGAGAGGGAGGGATGAATGTAGGGAGGGAGGGGGCGGGAGGCAAAGGGAGAGAAAGACTGAGTTACACAAGGAAGCGATGAAGAGAGGTCCGACATGATGACGCGCACGTTGACATGATTCTGAACGCTTGTCTCCAGACTGTGCAAGCAAATGCGATACAGCGAGCACAAGGCTTTGATTTTGGCATGTCCATTTCCTCCGCTTTCCTGCTGAAGCCACTGCGACCTGGCTGGGCCCATCTGGGGGTTCCCGCCATTTGTTTCTCTTCGCTGGCAATCTAGCTTGGACGCCGACGCTGCCTGGCCATGACACATGCGGCCACATGATAATCGCCCAGCACACTGGAGGCCTACAGTTGTCGGACTTGACAGTTCCTGGACTGCTTGAAAGTTTGATGAGATGTAGCACAGGGTTCTAACCAGGTACATGTTCGCAGTCGCTTTTCATTGCTTACCGACTGCATGTGTTGGCCAGCGAAATGCTGATTGGTGAAACTGAAAGGTGCATCCTCGATTTTCGAGCCTGCCCAAACCTTGAAATTAAAACTCAAACGGCAAGATCCAAAGCAGCACAATTGCAAAGAGCGACCGGTTATCGTTTCAGTGGCCAATGCCGATGTTTGCTATGCTTGTGGAATCTGCCAAGATTGACCACTCCAGAGGCGCAGCACTAAGTTGGATGTTGCCGCTTTCTGGTGGAACTTAGACTCGCGTGCCAGATGCCCTTCACAGACTCTGGAGTTTCACAAAGCCTTCCATAAAACCTTAACCCGGTCCCCAGCTGTAAACTGTAAACAGGATCTTCTGGGCCCGTAGATCCTGAGGCCCAACCGAAGCCGAAACCTCTGAATAAATAGTGCACAACTCGACTCTGCGATATGGACAACTGGCAAAAAACACGAGTCTGAAACTGGCAGGGCTCCGTGATGCAGCCAGGTTTTGTTCTATCCCGCAAGTTTTTATGATTTAAAGCCATGTAAAGTTCTAATGGAATGGAGAGCGGATCTCGCTAACGCAGACTAAAACGTAGACCGGAAAGCTCCTTTCACCAAACATCTCAACTGGAGTTTACAATCTGCTGTCTCTCAAGTAGGGCAGAGTCATAGCCAGTGAGTAGCACATGAGAACCACAAGGACATGAAAATTACCAGTTAGCAGTCATCAGCTCCATCACCGGCAACGGCAGTGCTACCGGCACCCCCACCACTACCATTATCATCGTCATTCTGACTGTCGCCACTGCCACTCCTCATCTCCCGTGGAATTTGCAGGACCCATGGACGGCTCCGTGGCGAAGGGCAACAAAAGCCGGTAGACAAAAGGAAAAGCCGAGGAGAACCCTGTAACGACCAAAAACGAACCAAAGCTACTTTCCTGGTTCGTGCCCTGGCTACTGTGCAAATGCTGCTGCAGAGGACGAGAAGTGGAGGGAAAGAGTGCAAGTATCATGTGGCAGGGAAGGAACGCAATTGCCAGACACATCCCAACCAGCCATCGCATGTGCACAGAACGGGTACAGTCAGTAGAGTTCCCATCTCTGCTACCATCTCCTTCGTGCCTCGGGACTCCAAAACCAGAGCACCCACACGAAGCCCACTTCTTCTAATTACGCCGCGCCAGAGGCATCAGAAGCGGTGTCAATGTCGGTCTCCCCTTGCTTGAATCCACGATTCTTTACCAGAAGCGCAAAGATTCGAAAAGCGTCTAAGAACCAACTCATGACCCTTCCCAGAAAGGAGTGTTTCACCATGCGAACAATCGGCAGTCTGGGGAAATTGCGTCTTGTAGCACGCAACGCTGCATGCATGATCAAGCTGACGGCGCAGTATATCTCACGGTCGCAGCGACAACACAACAAGACTTGTCTCGGGCGTAAGCTCCTTCTTTTCGCCTAGTTTCAAGCCTGATGGCTCTATACGATAAACCGAAAGACGGCGTAAGAAATATCTTGTCTGCGGCCAAAGCGGCCGAGATGGTGCGATTCGAAGATCCAGCCGATGTGCTCATCGGAGTGGCAGTTGACTCCGGTCAGGATCGACAGCTGGTCCTGCTAATGCTGCTTGCTTGCGCAGCTTGACATCCGAGGTGGACAATTTTCAATATACTAATCAATCAGGCTTCTTTTGGAAAGTATACGGGTTCCTTATGGCACGGATGCCGTCATACCAGCGTCCTTACTCGGGGCTCAAGCCACCCGGCAGCGGGTATCAGGACGGCGCCAGTACCGCGCTCGATGGCCTCAGAGGAGGTGGTGCGCTCATGGCAAGATGCTGGGCGATGTCGCGTCGGACAGGAACGTTGCAATGCAGGACCTTGAGGCAGCTGGCCCGTGCCGCCAGGAGTGGGCAGGCAGAGGGGCACTTCGCATCCAAACCGACAGCAGGAGCTTCGGCAAGGTGGAGGGTCTGTGGAGGGATGCATTTGACAAGAGCCTCGCATGTATGACGACTTGGAAGGCCCTTGCAACTATGAATGTGACGGCAGGAACCTGAAGAACCTGACCACCGGCTACGCCACCGTCATGAACTCTGACATGCAAGGCGGAAGGCGGTGCGTTTGGCAACAACTTTGCTGGATACACTACCATGCCGCAAAAGGTCCTTGCAACCAGGAGTGCACACGTGTAAACCATGCTACCGGATGCTACGACAAGATGGAGGGCAGATGGAGGGCAGTGCGTCGGGCAATCACTTAGCTTCCATGCTACAAAACGATGAGGCGGATGGCCAATGCAACTATCAGCGGCAGGATATGAACCTGACCATCGGCTGCTGCAGCGCCATCATGGGCGTTAGCAAGATGAAGGATGAAAGGCGATGTGTTTGACAGTGTTTCCGCATTTATTGAGATGACGGTGATTGCACCCGGAAGCACGATGATATGTACCAAACCCGCTATTGCTGAAGTGGACATCTTTGCGTCGTTCCTTGTTCCCTGGGGTGTGATCCTTTATTCTGTCGGTGGCTTGTACGTAGCCGCCCTTGACTTGTTTCAGCCTCTTCAGGCTTCGACGGGTGTTGACAGAGGGTGCGGGGGAGGGTTGGGGGGAATAGATTCATATGATAACAATCATGCTCCTCTTTCTTATTGGTTTCTAGCATATTCTCCGTCTCAGTAACGTTCAGTTTAATCCGAATGCACTTGCAAACGCAGTATAATCTGCAGGTAGGCTTCAAGAGGCTTTGGGACAAAACGCCGAATTCTAGCTTGTCGAGTGCAATTTCGTCTGCGGCTTCCGTCAGCGCTGTAGGTTGTGGCTTGTTCTTGACTTTGCCGATGGATTTGGAGCGTGCAGAGACCTCTTTACGGTGTGGCGGCTCAATCTCCTCTCCTCTTGTCCTGGTTTGCCGTGTTACCTGGGTGCATACAGGCACGCGGAAGTCTCAACTAATTTTGTAAGCCTGACGGGTCGCTCCGAGCACTTCAGCAAGCTCTGTAGGGAATGGTGCAACAGACAGCATTGTGGGTGTACGGCTAAGGCGATAGAAATAAAATAAGAACATTACCGGGCTCGAACTGCAATCCTGAACCTTGCGCGACCTGACCCGCTGGACTAGTTGGAGAACAGTGTGCAAAAACACACACCAGCTCTGCACGAATTCCCAGCATACTTCAAAACCCCTGCTCTCAAGTAAAGATGCTCAAATATCCCAACAGGAGTCCGGTATTCAAAAAAATGAAGCCTACAACGATCCTTGATCTGGTTCAGCTCGACCTCCATGTAGGCCTCAAGTGGCTGGTTTGGGCCACTTCTTTTGGAGGCTTCAAGCTGCGGAGCAAGCTTCAAGGTGGGGCCATGGAGGTCCAGTCTCTCTCTACAGAATTCGAGTCCAGTCAGAAACCTGGAAATCCTCAGCCGGCATCTCGAAAGACTTTCGTAGGTCTGGTCAACTTCTGGCTTGGGGTGTGCGTCTCCGCTAATCCAACGAAATAGCGGGCTGCTATCGCGGAACGGCCCCGTGACCCGGTGATCTCATCATGGTTCATCTGCTCATTTGCTGGACACAAAGCAAAAGTCTAAACTGTAGCCCCAAAGCCTGAAACCTCTGAAAACGTACGCGTACATACACACGTGTCTGCAGTGAAAGATCTCTGAATTTTAAGCTCGCATCCTATGCTGCACAGTGCAAGCGCAGGAAGGATTGATTCTTTGGCCGAAGCGTGACAAGTATCAACTTGTCTAAGCCAAAGCTCGCCACATCACACGGCAGTCAGGAGAAAAAGTCTGCAATATCCGATCAGTGAAAGAACATGATCATGCACGATCGCCTGCAACATCTAAACTAGACATGCCGAAACTCTAGAGCCTCATCCCCATAGACCCTATTTTACTTCTCCAGCGGACCAACACCTTACACCACAAATTGTCGAACTACGCCTCCAGGCTTGCACGGCTTGTGATGCGCACCTACAAAGTATCGTTATCGGCCTGCAAACACTACTTACAGATTGGATCTCTCGTGTTGTCATGCCATCGTTGTTGAAGCCATGAACTTGCACGTGTATCATGATACTAAGTAGCAGCAGCACTTTGTTGATAATCATTTTTGCCGCCGCTGATCCTAAACCTTACAACGCTTTTGTGAATGGGGGCGGTTGTCATGGGGAGGCGCGCGTAAGTAACGGCAAGATGCATTGAACTTGCCCTGCGTCTTCATGAGCCACTGCTGGTCATTGATAATCCTTGGATTGTGAGACGCTCACAATTTAGGAGGATGCTGCAACCCCAGCGGAGGCCCGCTGCACCACCGTCCGCACCCCGACACAATCAATTACAATTCTGGCGCCCGCAATCGTTTCCAGGTTGACTGTTGAGGGCCTGTGTCCAAAAAATGACGGAGTTGCACTTATCAAGTTCAAGTTGCAATCAGATTGTGTGACGTGCTTCCGCTTCTTGCTTCCATGAACAGAAACGGTTGGCCGGGCACTCCATCACTTTGCGGTGGATGCAAACATCTGGACCCATGTTCAACTTGAAGCTCAGACTTCTTGCGGCTATTGATAATGCTTCCTGGCCGTCCTGCACGCGCCAACTACCAATCAAGCATCTTTCCGACATCCATTGCCGTGGCTTGGCCTCGCAGCCGCAAGCAACCCATGAGGAACCTTGGTTGACTGAGCTGGTGCGTGTTTTCTGTGCCCCGCGAAGCAGGAGAGACAAACATGCTTCGGTCTTGCCAAGCGGCTCTTCAATTTCGACAGCGCCGCCGGAATCCTTGTCCAAGAGCCTCAGTTTGGAACCAATCAGCAAATCCAAGCTGCTTTTAAAACAAGAACTCTTAAAACCCTCGTCTATCAGAGAGCCCTGTAACAACAAGACTTTGTCTACGACGAAAGCTTGTTTAGTAGAAGGGCCTCCCTAACAGAAGAAAAGTCGGAACTTTGTGTATGTATCATACGAAGATGTAGATATGCTTAATATCAAACGTAGATATAGAAACAGATGCAGATGTAAGTCCTGTCCGGTAACAATCTCTTGAAGCAGCAAGCAGACTCATATCTACACATGCATGCATCCTAGACATATGTGCGCACACACCCGCGCGTGCAAGAACATATATTTCACGACACTAGCAAAGACAGATATACCATAAATGCAATTCAAGTAGATTAAGTAGACACAGGTGATACAGGCATGGAGACAAACCTCGAGATTCAAATTGCAGGAGCCGCTCCGCGCTGATCAAAACTTGTCGCTTTGCTTCATCTGATACAGGCTGTGGCTTTCTGGGCTGCAGGCTTTCGGGTTCCGGCTCACGGGCATTGCAAGCAGAGGTGCTTGAAAAAAGACCATGCATCCCAGACGTCGAGCCCCAAGGTCTGGAAGTACTCACCTGAGCCATCTCCGCAACTGTTCCGTAAAGAATTTCTCGTATAATGGAACAACTGTATACGCATGATGCATGTGTTATCTCATGCCACTATACTTACTATATGCACTCACATGTATGGGGCATTCTTTCAACCACCTCCTTCCCCGAAAAGACTGGAGGTAATCCCGGCTCCTTGAGCCAGCCAAGTTGTTTTCTCCCCATGGCCGCGTGCGCTGCAGCCCGTGAATGATCCAAAGGTAGGACTTCGGAAACCCTTGGGCTGTTAGGTTGCAAATCAGCTGTTTCTACAACTGTACGTTTGGTTGCATTCAGGGCTAATTATGGCTTTAAAGACTTCGCTTCCACTGGGAGTGAACCCAACAGAAGCAGTGAAGCAAACACTGCGGCCAAATGAAATGCTAGGGCGGCCTACAAGCTGTCACAGCCGACCTTAAGGAGGCATCGTGCTACGCAACATGTACGCAAAGTGGTGCACGATTTCACTCATCCGCAATACGTCATGAAACCCTCCTGTGCTCAAGATCTTGACGGTATGAAAGGCCAGCTTCAGGCAAGTCTAATACCTGAGCCGTCAATTTCAGGACCCGAATGGACCCGAAACAAGAGACCTCAATCTTTTGAAGAACGGCCACGAACCCGAAGCCCTCTCAACCCGAAGCTCCTAAGCACCACAAAGCCACAGCCCTGAAAGTACTCCCCGTAGACCCCACGGCTTTCCTTCCTCCCTAAGACGTAGAGCAGCTACAGGCTACAGAGTCTTGCGATGCAACTCCCTTGGGGAGGAGGTCTGGCCTCTGGGAACAGAGCTTATCTTATGTGTTCTATAGAGAAAGAGAAGGGGGAGGCTGGGGCTTTAGGAGTGCAGGAAACCACGGGAATTTTAGGGGTATTGGGGCTGCTCAGCCAGAAGCACGCACTTCCACCGAGTTGATCTTCTCCTGGAACATCTTGAAAGTAATGACACCTTGGTTGAGGTTGTGCAACTTTTACATCCACTGCCTTCAGGACTGCAAAGTACTGCAAAGAGAACCACAATTAGCAAAGAACAGCCCCACTCTCCAGCTGCATTGGGCTCTCGAGAAAAAGCGACTTGAATTTTCCGCAATGAAACCATGCCTGAAACTTTACTTCTTCATTGCACAACTCTGCAAAGCTGCCGGGCCAGCTGCGAGATCTCGCAAACTCCGTTTCCGCAGGCCTGGATCCTTACCCCCAGAATCCTCTGCCCCATAGTCCTTTCCTTATCTCACGACCAACCCCAAAACTCGCCACCCCAATGAAGAACGGCTCGCGGTGGCCTTGCAGGTGTTAGTGTCTGGGAAAGCAGGCTTAAAAATCTGGAACAGTGGGGCTCGAGCTTTTTTCGAAAAAACACACGATGTTGGTCGACACACTGGGTGGTAGGACGGTATACTCTTGGTGATCACGTAATCTAAGCTATCGAATCCTGACCACGACAAGGAACCATCGTCAGCACCAAACTTGCTGAACAAGGTGTTGATCTTGCCAAGGTGCGCCTCAAATCAAAACGCACAACCTTCTGGACAACTGGAAGCTATAACAACCCATAATCACCTGGTGAGATTAGCCTCGCTTTTTGATTTCGACCGGCGATGCTCCAGCGCGCAGCAGCAACTACCAGCTCTGCTGTAGCAATAGTGCTCAATGTGCATGGTGGTGCAGCAACGACGATAGTCAAGTAGGGAAGCTGTAAGCTCTCGCCAGAAGAAGCAGGGGAATAGGATATATGTGCTGGCTGCCGGCATGGCCACATAGTAACATGTCTTCGTATGGCATGTGTTTCGGATTCGAAGGTGCCTCAAGTGCTTGCTTAAGAGGCTCCTGCCTTTGTTGCAGATGCAACACTGGTATGGATTGAAATTCAGAGTCCATGCTCGAGACAGCGGCCCGCCTCCTTGTTGGCCAAGATCGCATGCACTTTGGAAGCGTGGTCGTTCTGAGCACCATCAATGGCACTCTGGCAGAAAACTGCAGTGACCTCGGCATGCGAGAACTAACTAACTTTGTTCCGGTGCCAGCAGCCCCCAAATGGACAGGACACCTCAAAAACCCTCGTTTCAAAAGGAGGGGCGACCATCTGACATAAGTGCAGAAGCGCTGCCTATCGCACAGAGCTTGAGACAACACTTGACAACTCATGCGCATGACCAGCACGGAAAACGGCCAAGCCAAAGGGCAACCAACAAAGGCCTCCACTCACCCACACCTGGCACGGAGGAGCCAGGGCTCAGGGTGGGCGAGAAAGAAACCTTATAAAGCGACCACGCAGCAAGGGCAACCAGCAAGAGCCTCCACTCACCTACGCCTGGCACGAAGGAGCCAAGGCGGGCAAGAAAGAAGCATAAAAACAACCAAGCAAACGCGACCAAAGCGACCAAGCTATGAGCCCCATCTACCACGCCACAGGTACTCCTGAACCTGCGCGAGGTAAGGAAGGACAGTGTCCGACTCGCTCTTGCGGCCCTAACCCCGGCGCCGAAGTAGACTGCAGCGCGGTATCGGGTGGCGAGAGCCCGGCACTCCCAACACATATGATGTCAAGTGCCTAAAGCATCGCGCCACAAACAGCGGTCGCTGAACACTCGCGTCGTCTGGAACCAAGCAGGACTCACAGTTGCACCTAAGGAAACGGTCCTGCATCCAGGATTCTTAAGCTCGGCATGTCGTCGAAAACTAGCTTTGTTCTGGTGCGGCAGCCCCCACATGGACAGGACACCTCTGTCTATGCACCCTCCACAGTAGGAAGGGCAACCATCTGGCATGCTACAAGCAGTCGGAGCACGAAGCAAAGACTGGAGCAGACATGCAGAAACAAACCTCGGGCATGGGTGGGGCAGAAAACGACAGGTACCGCAAAGAGTAGGACCAACTGTCTAACTTGAAACCGCCCTCAAACGGACAGGACGCGACTATGAGCCCTTCATGCAGGAAAGCCTTGGAGCCGATGATAGAAGAGGCCTGTCATTCGCGTGACTTGAGAAAACGACAGGTACTGCACACGAAGGGGGCATGATGCCGTTGGCGTCTCTCGCACCAGGGTTTACGACAGCAGGGCGTGCTGCTAAACCACCCCTTCCCAACCTAAGAAAAAACCGAAGCGATGGCAACAACCCATCATCCCTCTATATGCGAAATACCATCTATGGGCAAGGACCTCCCGACTTGGCTGCTGCCAAGTCGCCACATTCAACCTAAGCTACCAGCATTGAGGAGTTCTCCTCTGCGTAAGTGAGTCTCTGAGCTGAGGCACTATGGGGCTTCCTGTACTTCGCCTGTCTTTATTTGCCGTCAAGAGAGCAAGTTAGGGTCACGAAGCATTGAAGCATCCGGGTGTGATAAGGCTTCAAATTAGAGTTCTGGGACTCAAACAAATCGATGCATAGTTTTATTCTCCGAGCTGCACGGCAAAGTACGTGAAAGAAATGTAGAACAGGAAGACCCAAATCCAGGCTTCGGACATCGCCTCGGGCGAGCATGCTAGTCTGCGACCGCTTTTGGCACTGCTGCTGCTAACAGTGATCATACTACGGACCGTAGTCGTAGTAGAAGGTGATTACAAGTACTTCTCCTCCTCCACGCAGTCATCAATGGCCCCGCGACAATTTAGGGACCTGTGTCGGGAGTTCCGCTTAAAGATCGCGAACACTTTCATAAGAGCACTCACATGCACAGCCAGCGCCGGTTAGCCACCAGCTTCGATACGCTCACGACTTCCACGATCGGTGGGAAGAGTTGGGCCAAAATGACATCACGACCCACCACGACACGCAGTCAGGCTCGCACAAGTAGGCAAACGCACATGTATAGATTGTAGATTCAACCCTCGCTTCAGTATGTGTAGGGGTCCTCCACTATGTACGAGGTGCTACACAAGGGACGCAAACTTGATCACTTGCTGTCTTCCGTCGTGTGGCACTGAGCGGTGCCAACACCTGTTCCCAGCTGACGCCGCCGGCGATGCTCATGAAAAGGCCTGGTCCCGGCACATAAGTGGTCTGGGTGTTTGCTTGAAGATGTGGCAGGCTGAAGCTTTGTCGCGATGGTACCGACACGAAAGACTCACTGCCGGAATTTGCATCGGCATCGGGATAAACTCAATATATCTCGGGCATAAAACGTCGAAGCCAGATCCCTATCACAAGCATGCTGCAGTCATCAGTGCAAGATGTATAGGGTTGCCCGCGCGGACTTACGTCAGGTGTGCATGGGACCCGATGTCAACACAAAGTGCATTCAGGCCCATCAGTTATCCATGCAATGCTTGCTAAGGAAGATACTCCGGCCATTCCGGGAGTAAGACACAACAACATCCATTCCTGTCCGAATCGCTCAGCATCGTCAGCGCCAGGGATCCGAAATAGCGATCGCTCGCATCGTCGTCCTGAGTTAGAACATGTCCGAACGAAAAACTGTAGCATACCTTGGAAGTGCGTGCGGGGTTGTGCTGCCGCGCAAGCACAATCGGGGAGCTGCTTGGATCCCGCGCTACCTCTGTACCGAAGGATTCAGTGAGTATGATTCCACTCTGTTGGAGGCTTGGCATTCTATGATTCGCGCATAGCACTGGACTCCACAGTGATCTGTGAAGGGCAACAGGAAAACTGCTTCGGCCGAGAGGCCGCTGGTGATAGAGGAACCTCAGTCTCGCAACACTCGGCGACTAGAAGCATCAGTTGGAGATGCGGAACGTAGTGTGGGCAGAGACAGGTGCGTTGCAACGGAGCTGGTGCACGTTGGTTGGCTTTATTTACCATTGCTGTTGGCGCTGGTGGCAGCGACAATGGTGGTGGTCGTTGCTGCGCTTGTATTCCGCCGGTCGGGTATATGGCGGAGGTGATGGAGGCCGCTTTTGATCAAGGAACTGCTAGCCTCTAGACCAGCTGCTTGTAGCTTGTTTACGTACGTGATAAAGATATCATTGACACCGAGGATTTCCCCTTCTTGAAAATGGGGGCGAGGAGTGCGGCAGACCATTCCATCTTGACGAACTGTGAGGGCTGACGATTATGACTGGCAGCGGCGATTGAATCACCATAAGCTCGAGTCAATGCAGGCTCTGATGCCCAAAAGGTGAGCCACTAGATCAAGCGCAAAGAGCAAGTTCAAACATCATACAACGCAGCAAAGGCAGAACGGCAGCAGATCAAGGGGTGCAACACTCGGCTGAACCGACAGCCAGGAACCGAGCAAGACGTGAGGCTTAAGAGCTGTTCTTGGAAGGGAGCTAGCAATGGATCAGCAATCCTTGAAATCACAACGCCACTAGTTGCCCATGATTTCCCAACCTCGCAGGCACTTACCGGCAGCTTCGGCACATTGTCAGCGTCCGCCTTATAGCTGTGCACCGCCTGCGTCAACCTCGCCACGCAACTGGTGCTTGCAATCTGTGCACTGTGTAAGCAACCATAGTTTCCGGTTCTGGGTCTATATTTCCAGACATGCGTTTTCAGGCCGGGATCGAACTTGAGACCTCGAACAAGAGGATGCAAAAGGTTTCCTTCGCGGTGTTGGAGCTCTCCTAGCTTCGAAGACTCCTCTCCATTGGGTGCTGGTTCAGTATTCTCGATGCAGATACACTAGGGTCCACGTATGGAGGCCTATCGACTGTCAACGGTTCTACAGGGCCACAGGATTTGTGTCTGCCGGCAACCACCATCCTCTCCTCGAGCCCGACACAGCCAAGAAACCCTAAGCCTTACGATTGACCCTTACTGTCTGGCCGCCACAAGGAATGCAAAGGTTCCCACATAATTGAAACGCAGACAAAGCAGCAGGATGGCGAAGACGTAGATGATCAAAGCGAGAAGCATGAGCGCCCAAAGCAGCGACTTCAAAGTGGCAATGATCCTCGGGGTCATGGCGTTGGAGCTTTTTTCTCCAATCCATACTTCGTTACTTTCCGCAGTTTTTTGTTATGGATGTTGCTGCTGTCGGACTCGTGTCGTCGGGTGAGTTTAGTGTTGGGCAATTGGCGATAGGTTGGATTCGGAACCGATGCCTCAGAGGGCTCGGATTGACAAGAAGTCATGCAACAGCCATGCGGTGGATACAGTGTGCTGCATTGGGATGGCGGTGATGTGACTGCTTAAAGAGAGGGGGTGTCCACCTCGAAGGTCAATGAGGATAACGGTGTGACATGACTTTACAAATTCATGTTCAGGTCTATGCGAAGCACAAGCCATAAATGGAATCCCAGGCAAAGCCACCCGTGTCTGCTGAGCAGGCAAGGTGCGAGGCAATCAGCAGCCGGAATGCCATTACAAATCGGAAGATTCGGATCAGCCGAGCGGCCTTTTTGAACATGAACAGGTCAACACGTGAGGCTTTGCTTAGAAGGCTGTCTTCCGACGGGTTGGAGCTCACGAGCCCACAACCGCTACAACATCATGCCGAGTCTGCCGGGAACACGAGGGCAAACCTGCAAATGGTGCATCATGGCAGCTCTCTGCGACTACCTCATTGCAATGTACGTGCCCTGAATTCTGAGTCACCATTGCGTTGCTTCTTGTCCTGCCGTCGGAATTTAGGTACAAAATTTCTAGCAGAGCAGAACCGATAAGGCGATGAAGAACCGAGGACTGATCCCAGCCGATGAAGTCAAGCTAAACAAAGGCCTAATTCGTAACCCTGAACTTGTTGTTCAGACTACAAATGTTGACACCGAGCTGTAGCATAACCCGACATTTGCAAAAGTCTAAGAACACACTTCGAAGCTGGATTGAGCATAGCCAGAATGGCACCAAGACTCTTCAGCTCAACGCCAAAGCCAAGCCTTAACCGCAACCCCGAACTCACAATCAGAATCAACACCCGGAGCGCAAGCCCCGAGCTCAAAACCGCAAACCCGAAACCCTCTCAACACCGCAAACCCGAAACCCTCAACTCCAGACCACGAAAGCGCGCCTTCACGATGCGGGTTATGCGTACAATCCGCAGTATCTTCAGACTTGTCAGACTTTTCAGGCCGCCTCCATCGCCTTCGGTTCCTCGCCATCTTTCTGTCACTTTTGTGCGGTGTTCACAAGATCTGGCTGGATTTGAGGTACGGGCTATTGTGATTTTAGAGGTCGGAGCCTTCGGCGACACGCAGTTCCGGCAGGGAGGGGTAAGGGCTCTGAACTCTGCAGGCCGGAATCTGGAATCTAATGACTCAGACGGTCACAAGGTGGTAAGAGATCGAAGGAGTTGAGGAAGCGAGCCCCTGTCGCGATTGACAAGCAAAGCCCATGCGGTTTGACAGTTCATCTAACATCCCGGGCGCCAAGACATGAAACCTTCAATGAGGGGCAGGGCTGCAGAGGTCTTCACCGATTCAGGCAATGCTTCGCTCTGCCAGCTCCAGGTTTGACCTGAAGTTAGTGCCACGGGTCTCTGGTCTCGGAAGGAACAAGCCGGGCACTGTGGCTCAAGCCAGCTGCCAATGCCCCACGCGGAACCACTGCAAGTGACGGGTTTCAGCGTGTGACCCGACCCCTCGCCAAAGCCACCGTCCTTGCGCAAAGAAGGCATACGCCTCAAAGCCAACCTCCCAAAGTGAGGTCAGCACGATCATCCTTAGTCCGGCTGGGCATGCCAGGTCCTTTCTGAGTTGCACAGTGCTAATTAGCATCCAATCCGACATAGACATGACCATGCTCGCCAACCGAAAGTTTGTAGACACCTCTGTGCGGGGCTTGTTCCTTCTGCCATCGAAGCAGTGGCGAAGTCGATGTTCATCAGACATCTTCGAAGTCATTATGAGATTCGAGGCTTCTGTATGACCTTTTCCCACTTTTTGCCGAACTTTTTTGCATATCTGGAAACGGAAAGCGGCGAAAAAGCTGGGGTAGAAAGCAACAAACTCATCAAGCTGCTTCAAGCAGCACACAATCGACATGATGAAAGTCCATGCAAGTTGACAAGAACGAAATTGACAAGAACGAAACACTTTTTCGTCAGGTTGCACGAGAGGGTTCTTTTCCCCACAGATAGGGTTAATTGTTAAGGCAGTGGCTGCTCTTCGGGTGCTGCTGATGCAAGCGAAACGAAAGGATTTAGACCCTTTGAAGTGTTTAAAGATCGAGCAGCAGCGGAAATCCCAACGTAGTAGCGGCTTTTGCAAGTCAGGATTCAAAGAATTCGGCAGCATTAGACGTTACTTAGAAACCCAAAACCCCGAACTCTTGTCTTGGGCACCCCAAGCTCCAAAACCCAGCCTCAGTCTCGGCCGCCTCATAACGTCTCATGTGGCTTAACCATTGCAGCAGAGAGGCAGGTCCAGCCAGCCCCACATCCAGTCCTTGGGTTGTAGCCCTTTGGGTTGCGAGCTGGTAGCTACACACACTTTTGTAGGGTTTTGGGCTAAGGGTAAGACAAGCCAACATCTGGGCCGCCATGATACTGCAACCAGACAATTCTAACAGCCCTTTCTCATTCAACCTCGAACCACCCTCGAACTTCCCAAATCTCACTGCCCATGGTGTCCTCGCCACAGAAGAATTTCATCCCACCAGCCGCCGCCCATCTCAGGAGCAGCTCAGCCAGAAACCTTCCACTTTTCCCGCAGTCTTCCGACTTGAGATGACTTGAGCATAGTCCAGATGTCGCGAGCTGAATAGATGACAAAGGCCGAAGCAAACTTGACCCCGCGTGTTGGAATGCCTACAGTATGACTGAAACAAACCTCGAATGAAACATAATGGAACCTCCACCCTCACCCCCCGACTAGCAACTGAAAAACTCAAGATCTGAAAGCCTGAAACTTTGCATATGGCAAGGGCATGATGGTATACCTGTCTGTCTCTCTGTGTGTGTGTGCGCGTGTATGTATGTATGTATGTATGTATGTATGTATGTATGTATGCATGTGTATATATATAACTCTCTCCAGCGACCTATCTACCTATCTGTCTATCTATCTATCTATCTATCTATCTATCTATGGAGTATGATACACAAAAATGATTATCTCGAGTCAATATAACTACGTTATATAATACAGACAGATAGTTGTATAAGCACATGTAAGCGTGTGTTTACATGTGCCCACACAGAGTTCACGCTACTGTAGGGTAACACGGCCGTGGCTTCATCGATTCATCGAGCCAACAATATGTATAACAGCGTGGTAAAGGGAACAAAGCAAGGACAAGGATTCGGCCACGATCGACGAGCATATAAATGGTGAAAGCGTAATACGGGTCACCCGACAGCTGCTCTGTTGATGCTCCACCCCTTTTGGTGTAGGTCTTGTAATTTGGGTACCTTCGACGGACATTCTTACATCTATGGGTTCAGCGCTTGGACTTGGTTGAATGAAAAGCCTCAGTCTACGAGGTGTTTACTCTTACAACTTGGCTGACCGAGCCAAGTGTTCAGCAAGGCTTTGGGGTGGTGTTCAGAGGTCTTTGCACCCAGGGCACAAAAAGGTAAATGTGTACTGGATGACGGCAATGGGAACCTCAGATGCTTGAGGCTTTGGGGTGGCGCTGCTTGGCAGTGAGACACTGGCTTGAACCCGTCTTGTCCTGAGTGAGGTCGGGATGGTGAGGTCGCCGGATGCCCTGTTTGGAGCTTCAGATTCAACCGCAACATTGAAAACGACCACAGGTTTAATTTGGGCCGAGAGGGATTGTCTCTGTCTAGGGTTCGCTCGTCTCCGGAAAAACGAACCGAGTTTCTGCAGCCGGCGGCACGAGCAGCAAAGAGCGACTGAGTTTGCATGGAGCTGACAGTTGCTCCATCCAGATTCTTTCAACATTAAATGTTGCCACGTCCCGCAGGCCCGAGCCTTCGCTTTGAACTTAAGCCCCTCGGCCTATGAAGCAGACGCAGAAAACAGCAGAAATTCGGTTTGGAAGAATAAGATAATCTAAACTTTCATTGCATGCTTCAGCAAGAACTTCAGAAAGAATAACAAAAACACAACCAAGCATCAAAGACTGCACTGCACACGCTATCAGCCCATTAAGAAGAAGCCGTTGAACACACACTTCAAAATACTACATGCACTCTCAACGCCAAAACCACTCTTCGGCCAGGGAAACCGGAGTGCCATCGGGGTTTGACAGCGAAACTTGCAGCTCCACTCCTAAGCAATATGGCGTCCGAGCATAGAACATGGGGCTTGGGTCTTGCTGTGCCACTAGACTCGAGTGTTCGGAGCGTGCAGATTTTTCAATGTTGCATCCTGAGGTCATGTCTGCTGCCTTCGTTGGCGGCGTACGAGTTTTCGACTTATATAGGCCTTTATATGATGTTACCCAGTTGCAAAGGTCAAGCAACAGGTGAAGTCGAAGCTGCGACTCAAACCGAAACTGTTCTGCAGGGCAACATCCGAAGCCTCCGGCATGACACAAAAGCCCTCGAACCTTACAAAGCCTGAACTTAATCCCGAATCTTGCACTCCCTAGAAACTAGTACCCATAGTACGGAGTCAACCTTCAAGGCCGTAAACCCGTAGCCCCAGCTGAACCACTGAAGGACCTACCCTGCGGAATCCATGCGTCCGATGAAGATCGAGTTGGAGAGAACCTGGATCAGATAAACCGAGTAAGTCAAGGTTTAAGCAGAGAGTTTAAGATTTCGACAAAGGTCCAGTCTACACTTAATCTGCTTGCTACGATGACATGCGAAAGCGGTATGCAACCATCAAGCATTCAATCCATAAATCAGGCACATATTATATACGCTGTTGCGAAAACGCATGTATTAATTTTGTGGGCAACAGACATATCACACATTATGATGGACACGGTGCACCCATGCGTTGTTGCACCCGCGTACAGTCGCTTGTACACCCCGAACCAGACAGCTCCACAGAAAGTTCAGCGAACATTTCGTGAAGGTTCGACAAATCCACGCAGGCTGCTTCCGGCATGTCCCTACACTCCCCAAACCCCAATCAGCCTTAAACCCTGGCATTCCCTCCACGAAAGATCCAACAGGGGCCGAAGGACTACCGCTGTGAAGAAGATGTCGAAAGCCGGCGCCTTTACACACCTCACCAAGCGGCCTGGCACTGGGAGTTTTAGGCTGGGAGGTGTTTTTCCCCAGGGCGAACGAAGGGCTCAGGGGCAAAGAAGGACTACAGTAAAGAGAGGTCTCTTGGCACGCACCACTTTCTTTTTTGACATTTCAGGGTTTGTCGCAAGATGTAGAGAGCCCTTTTTCTGAAACTGTGCCAGCTCTAGGCCCCGAGGAATCGAGTCAGAGCTTCAGGAAATGAAGCCGTCTAAGACTTATGCAGGACTGGACAGCAAGTCAGTAAGAGGTACGGAGGGTTTCGGCACGCACGGTCGGACGATGCCATGCGAAACGCAGATCGACCCAACAGAACCTGGAAGCCCTAGCAGGGGCACTTTCGGGTTGCGTGTTCGTGTGCTGACGTGGGCACCCGCATCCCGGAATCCACGACAATCTGGCAAGAAAACCTTGCTAATAGCCCGGATAGCAATGTCTCAGCCGCCAAGCCCATCTTGTGCCGCGTGGCTCTCAAGCGGCTCAGTGGGCATGCTCTCTGACCTTCTCTGACCATGGCGGTTGTTGGTCAGGCCGCATGGTTTTCGGCTGCAGTTTGGAGCTTAGGAATGTGACTTGAAAATGAATTCTTGAAACTGTCCATTCCAACATGCCCTGAATGCATCTCACGGGATATAAACCTGGCACAAAGTACAAGTACGGCCAGAATAAAAGGAGCCCAAGGACATACTCGGAGCACAACAGGGCACTGACTGCTCCGATGTGAAAGGATCCAGCCCTGATCCAGCCAACCCCGGATAGAATGACCCCTGTGCTGAAGCTCTGACAGAGTCAACTGCATTCAACTGCTGCATCTCCCTTATCCACCTTCGATTAACGATAGATTTCAATAGACATTGGTTCTAACATTGCTATTATGACGCAGCCACTTAGCACTCTGGGCACTATGTTTTGGCGAGGATGTCAGAGTTGAGGCGCATAAGCCGCTGCTTGCGGCTCCACTGCGGGACTTTACGACAAGCCGTTTGCTTCAGTCAGCAGAATTACTGTACCCCACCATTTGATACATAAGTCTCGCAGGGCAGGCGACCAGCCTTGTCTGCATTGAGTGTCGCTTTGACTCCTTCTGCGCATCGCGCCGCAGTTTCAGCTCCGTCTGCGAAAAGGTCCTTGCATTGGTACGGGCTTGTTTCGACATTCTCGAGATCAGATTACCAGGGGCGAATATGCATTTTTGTGCATCTTGAGGCAACATGGTCGTGGTACGATCTGTCGGCATGATCAAAGGTCTGTCTTATGCATAGACTCGCCGTGATAGTATGCTTTGCTTGCATGCACTTAGTGCACTTCGCACAAGCATTCTGGTGCGTATAATTTGGCACCGAGATCTTTGCATTGAAATGGCAGTCTTGCGTGTACGTGTGTGCATGTCAGATATGCACGGCGTGTATAAAGCGGAACTGAAAAGAAGCATAGGGGAAGCCCGCCTGTAGCTGCACATATATGTAAATATGTATATATACATACATACATTTACCCGAATATGAGTGTGTGTATGTATGTATATATATATATGCATATCTAGACTTGTGCAAACCATGGTGATCGCATCGATGACGCCGTGATGAAGTAACTAACTGGCTTGCCTGCGGCCGTCGATGTTCGACGCTGTGCACGGGGGGTAAAGGTGACCATGACGACTGGCGCTTCTACTGCACGTTCAGGACTAAAGCTGAAACTATGGCAAATTAAAATACAGCCAGAAGATCACGCAACGAGCCTCACCACAGACTTGATTAAGGCTTCATGTCTGATCGACAGTACCCTAAGAACACTGAACAGTAGCGAAACAAGCTGTTCTAACAGCCAGTGGTAGAATTGTGACTTGTGGATTCTTTGATTCTACAACTAAATTCTACAAGGGAACAACCGCCACCTGAAACATGTTGGCATCAAAAGTGCCAGCATCATGTAAACCGCTTGCCACTTTCGGGCCGACTTGTGAAAACATGGTTTCCAGCAAGCTGCTTGAAAAATTGCGGTGTGAATGTCGGCCGAGCTGGCTTGATCGGGACCTGAGAGGGCATGGCAAATAGCAACATCCCTAGCCAATAGTGGTTCTCCTTCTGCTCTAAAGTGAAGCACCTATTGCCAATGGAGACCATCGACCGCAGCAGGCTCTCCTAACCTGGGCTTACAGCCCAATCTTTTAGGTCTCAACTGCAAGGGTTGAGAGCTCATCTTCATAGCCACTGATGGACCGTGGTAGTCTGCGGCAGTTGTCGTCGTAGTAACAGCAGCAGCGCAGGAGCACTACGGTAGCCTCATCATTTGTAGACTTGATAGTTAGGCCTCACGTGAGGCGATACCCAGCGCGCCTGGACGTAACTTTGCCTGTAGGTCCCAAACCCTCCCACGAAAAGGCAAGTCGCATTCCGTCCACTAATTGTGCGAACTTTTTTGGTTGCTGGCAGCTCCTTTGGCATCGCGACGCTGTCCTGGCAGCAAACAAGGCCCACATATTGGACGAATTGAAGTCGCTGCGGCTTTGAAGGCTGATGGCTTCTGGTCTCAAGCTCCTCGCTGGCTCGGGGCTTCGGGATTAATGCTGCGGTACAGAGTTTTGCCAGACTTCGACTCGCATGAAGCAGGCACAGATTGTAGCGATAAGTCCCATCTAGATTTGGGGCTTCAGGTCCGGGCGGGGAGAGTAGGGATCATCCGCGCCCCCGCCCCCTCCATTTTGTTGAACCTCGTCCGAGGCAGCAGCCCATCCCGGGAACCTAAACCATCTCCGAATAAGTTTGCAGGTTCTGAAATTCACGCCATATATATCGCAGATTTAAGGTGTGAAAGCAACAACCGATTCAAACTTGAACCTCTGCCGTCATTCAACCCTTACAATGTCCGGCACCTCGTCATCTGGCTTAACCTCCGTGGCCTCTGTGATGGCCCTGAGCGGTTGCAGACCAAGTGGATTGGTTGTAATCAGGCTTCTGCTTGAATCCCACTTGTTATCTGTCGGTCGTAACCTCATGCAAGGCAAAAGTGCGACTGATGCCCATTATTGTGATGATGGAAATTGCGCTCACACACGCGGCTCAACCTCCTATGTGATCACACAACACTGACTCGGGGAAGGGCCGGAAATAACGCGCACAACATGCAGGACGGAAGGTTTGGCGACATAGTGGCGACATCAGTGCACTGCTACATGTTGTCCGATCAACAGCAGGAATTGTGATGCTGTAGGGAGGGCGGGCGGGAAATCTGTAAACACACCTGACGCGGACAATGACGGAGACGATTTCCTCACCCTGAAACATGGCACAATGCACAAGCATGCACCTGACCACACCAACCTTTGCAGGGTACCTGCGTGTATGGATGTGCTGATCAATGCATCTATCCGTTTGATTTTCTGATGCGAACCACTGACTTTGTCATGGCTGTTTGGGGATGATGGCTAGAAGCCACATACAGAGCGCCTCAGGGAGCTGGTTGACTCCGTTGCACCTGCATTCTTGGAGGTTCTCTTTCATGTAACCTGCGGCCCGGAATGTACAGCGAACCGGGCTCCCGAACCACTACCAGAAATTGCTGAGTTGCCTTTCTGATGTCATGCATCCCTTCAAGCCGCTCGATCTGCCAAGACTCTTCAAAGGCATCACATCCCCAGTACTCGACACCTCGCTGCAGGATGTTTTTGTCTAGAGCAACAACAAAACGGTCTCCCTTCAACTCACACAAGGCTCTCAAGTCACGGCTTCTTGACAGCCAAGTTGACGGGCTGATAGTGAAATAGTTGGCCGGTATGGTAAGCGAGAGCAGCCTCTTTACAGATCCGGGGTGATGCGGCGTCTCATGTCACGAATTCGCTTTTCGCATGGAAGGGGTCTTGCTGTGAATTCTGTTGGCCCTTGCTGTGGAAGCTGCTGAGCTCGCAGCTCTCGGTGGCCAGGCTTCACTAGTCACTAGACGGCCTGTGGATGCATAATTACGAAGCCACCTCATCAGGCGCAGCTTCGAAAGATCCCATCATAGTGTGCGGCCCATGAAGATCACATAAAGCCGACACTCTCGGACACCTCTGAGGCAAGTATGCAAGTATACATTCACACACGACCTGCGTGCAACGGTGTTTATGGTCTTCGCGAATCGAAGTCGACTCGGGGTCGAGATGCTAATTTTCATGCACATGCATGGCGGCCGGACTTACTACAGCGAAAGACTCTACGGTGTTTTGCGATTCGCTCCAGAGCGTTCGGCTTCTTTTGCTGTTCAAACGGCTTGAAAGCGGATAGTTGCAGCTCAGGATCGTTAAGCGTTGCTGCTAGATTCCGCTGCTGCTGCTTCGCTGGCAGTCTTCTCACCAGCTGTATGGCTACTTGCGGATAATGCCGTTTCTGTGTCCATAAACCTCAATAAATGTTCGTATTACGTTGCTGTTATGCTGTTAGTTGTCGTATAGTCTTGGCAAGGCGGCTCCTGGTGCTGGTGGTGGTGACAGTGGGAGTCAGCATCACCTTCAGAGTTGACTGCAAAAATCCAAATCACCTACATCTTCATCATCCTCTTCCTCATCAACATCATCATCTTCCTCATCGTGGCCGCCGGCACCTCCAGCCATCAAGTACATCATGACCTTGATCTGAGCTTGTGCCAAGGTTCCAGTGTTCTGTCCCTCTTTTACAAAGTAGATCAGCCACGGTTCGTCCAAAAATGCCATTATCCGAAACCCTCCCCCGAGCAGGCCTGCGGGAAGCCGTCAGAGTCAGTTCCAGTGCCGATACTACCCGAGGTGCTTCGAAGCCTCAGGTCCAACCAAAAAGCAGTAGAATTGTGTGGTTTAGGGCCAAGCCAGACTCAGCAAGATCGGAAAGCCCTCATTTCAGATCTGTGAATTTACCCTGCCCAGACCCCAACTACCTCGTCTCTTTTCGGACAGGCCTACTCCGCTGAGACGAGACCAAGATCATGTTCATGCATTGCTGGCCTGCGTCCCTGAAGTATACGATTTTTGTCTCCCGCATGGCAGATCCGACGACCCACGTGGCAGGGACCGAGTCATGTAAGAGGGAGGGTCTTAAAAGAGTAACGACGCAGCCTGGGTCTATAGTGTTCGTACATAAAACTTGCTCTGTCGCGATCTCTCCCCGTATCGATAGATAGAAAGACAGGCAGATCGGGAGGTAGATAGGTAGGTAGCTAGGTAGGTAGGTAGGTGGGTAGGTAGGTAGGTAGGTAGGTAGGTAGGTTAGTTAGGTTAGGTTAGGTTAGGTTAGGTTAGGTTAGGTTAGGTTAGGTTAGGTTAGGTTAGGTAGGTAGGTAGGTAGGTAGGTAGGCAGGCAGACAGAGAGATAGATAGAGACGTAGATAGGCAGATAGATAGATACATACATATACATAAACACATAGACAGATAGACAGGCGGACAGACAGACAGACAGACAGACAGACAGACAGACAGGTACATAGACACATACAAGGGGTAGCTTTACAGCACGTCGCCCCAGGGCGCGTGAAGTCGCGACACCATGGCGCGTCCTACAGTAGCACATTCCTGGCGCAGATTTCAACTTAGAATTTCGAGCGCCACGCGCAGGCTTTCTGAAGATATTATGTCCTGGAGCCCCGAAAAGTCTGCCAATTTGGCAACTAATTACCATGTGCACCCGCTTTCAGACGACATGTAACAAGCGCCCGCGCAAGACACACATCATTGGCATCAGAGCGCACGAAGGCATGAGGAAAACCAACCGTTCCGATGTAGATGCTCGTTTTCAGACGCACCCACTCAACACGAACAGCAGTAGAACCACAGCACTTCAAAACAGCCGTTCCCCAACTAGACGCTCGATTTCCAAAGCACCCGCTGAAGACACGCATCATTGGCATCACAGCGCAGGACAACCAGCCATTCCCCCTGCACACGCTCGATTTCACAGGCGCCCACTGAAGACAAACAGACATTGCCCCCCGTGAAAATGCTCGATTTCACAAGCAAGCACACGAGACACTGTATCATAGCAGTCATAGCACATCCAAGCCAGCCAATTCCCCATGTAGGTGTGTCTCCGACTCTCTGTCCTCTGTATGTGTGTATATATATATATCTCTCTCTCTCTCTCTCTGTGTGTGTGTGTGTGTCTGTCTGTGCGCGTGCGTGTGTGTACCCAGCGCCAAACAGTGTGACCGAGACTGGCTTGGATGAGCTGGACTTAAAATCAACAAGGCCACGTCATTACAAAACCAAGACACTCGATTCCACAAGCACCCGTTCGAGACACAAGTCGTAAGCCATTCCACATGCAGACGCTTGATTTCGCAAGCACCAACTCGAGACACAAGTGGCAGCACAGCATATCAAAACCAGCCATTCCCCTGGTAGACGCTCAATTCCACAAGCACGCGTTCGAGACACACATACGTCGCATCATTGCGTTTTAGCGGAATCTCTTCTTGCATGCGATTCCACAAGAACCTGTTCGAGACAAACAGCTTAACACCAAGTGCACGCACAGAGATACAACATCAAGTCCATTAAAGTATGTCCATACCGATTGCCGGGACTTGTTCAGAATGGCTACCCCCCAGCGTGCACATGCAACGGTATGACTTCACACAGTGCGGTATGATGCGGTATGACTTAACACAGCCCCCTTTAGGCGATTGACGGATACACGGATGGACCGACCGATGGACAGACAGGCAGACAGACAGATTGAGATGGACAGATAAACAGGCAGGCAAACAGACAAACAGACAGAGAGATAAACGGAGAGATAGATGGATACACAGAGAGATATATAGGTAGATAGATTGATAGATAGATAGGTAGATAGATACATAGATAGATAGGTAGATAGGTAGATAGATGGATGGATGGATGGTTAAAAAGATAGATGGATGGATGGATGGATAGACAGATAGACAGATAGATAGATAGATAGATAGACAGATACATAAGGTAAGGTGAGATAAGATAACACGTAATGTAAAGACAAGACAAGACAAGACACACAGAGAGATAGATGGATAGATAGATAGATAGTTAGATAGATAGGTAGATAGATAGACAGATAGATAGCAGATTCGATGGCTAGTTAACATAAACTAAATCGATTGGATCGATTGTGTAGCTTAGACAAGTTAGATAGATTTGATAGCTTAGACTACATAGATTCGATTGTGTAAAGACTGACTCGCTCTCTCCAGAGCCCCCTATAGCCAACATCTCAAACCACGTGCCAGCAAGGATCTTGTAGTTGACCATTGTGGCAACGTCCTCGCTCGACACGATCACCTCCGAGTGGTGTAGAGGTTGACAAGCTAGTTCCAGAGTTCCAAGGTGCCTTTCGCCCTCCACCCCAACCCAAAAAGCCAACAAAACCTACCACAGGCTCCAAGTGCCCTGGCGACTGCCACATGCTCAGCTTGCAGACGTTACTTGTGCCTATGGCGGGCGAAGGCGCAAACTTCAAGGGTCCCGGCATGGCTTGGTTCTGGGTGACATGGGCGTCAACATCGTTCCTGAACACGAAGTTGGAGCCCTGTGAGCCTGCGGAGAGCCAGAGCGACATGCGGAAGTTCCAGAGGATTTTTCGGAGTCCTTCCGGCGCCTCAGCTTCTGATGGTGGCTTTGGCTGTGGTTGGTTGAGGCAGTATAGCACTTTAACATACTGCTGAAGATCGGGAAAGCAAGGCGGTCAGCCATGACAAGCGTGAGGAAGGGATGCATGCTGAAGGGTGAAGCCTTCAGGCATCCTAAAGGCCTGAGGATCTGTGATCTCGTGTCTACTGTAGGTTTCGGCATCGGCTGAAGAGCTTCACAAGCAAGACGACCTGTGTTCCCACTGACCTTCCGGCTAACAGGCCTGAGCCTCAGTCAAGACACAGTGGAATACGAACTTTCTTCTGCATCTGCACGCGAGCCAGCATGTCACTCTGAGTGCTGAAGGCTCGCATGACCTTGTTAACAGTCGGGGTACACCAAGGCATTCCGCGAAGCAACAAGACGTCAAGCCACGATGGTCTGTGAAGGGAAAGAACTGCAAGCAAGAGCTGCGCACACACGCACACACTTAAACAAAAACACACACACACACACACGCACACTCACTCACTCACTCCCTTCCACTCCCACGCCAACGCTCACTCACTCACTCACTCGCACATTGACTTGCTGGCCTACTCGCCCACATATTACGAAAGCACTTCACAGTATGTATCCGTACTCAGCGATCCATGTACGGGTTGCCCTTTCTCTGCTCTCTCGCAGGAAGAGGACGGGGACGACAAGCCCGCCGTCCCCAAGTTGCCCATTTTCCAGCTCTGCAATCCAGCCGAGAATCCTCTTCGTGACGTTGCCGCATCAGCTCGCAGGTCTGTATGTGCTGCTGTGCCAGCATCTCACCCAGTCGGCTGGCCAGATCAGCAGCAAAATCGCACTCAGCCGTCTGGATCTCCTGCCATGTCACCACAAACCGAACGGCCGAACACTCAGTATCAGTAGCAAATAATAATAATAATAACAATAATAGTAATAATACAAATAATAATAGTAATAATAATAGTAATAGTAATAATAATAGTAATAATAATAATGCTAATAATAGCTTCCAGACTGTGCAAGCCACCTTGGGTGGCCCCAGGCCATGGAGCCGACGCATGTAAGTACGTACGTACAGAACTCATACAGACACATATACAAACGTACATATATATATATATACGTACATATATAAATGTATATATATATATAGAGAGAGAGAGAGAGTCTGTATATGTATATATATATATATGCACGACATGGTAACCAATGGTGGCCATCGTTGCAAGTCATTGATTCAGGCTTACCAACCATCATCTACACATGCGCATGCGCATTTCTCCGTGCAGGTTCACATCCGCTCTGCGCGGTGTCCTGCTCTGCACACATCCTTAGACATCACGACTTTCATGACGGGAAGTGTCAATTGAGACTGTCGGGTGGTCTGGAACATGAACGTAAAGAGCCACAAGGCAATATACAACCAAGAGAACGAGCCCTTGCCGTGCGCTTGATGAGCGCTGAAAATTGCATTGCAGGGCCTTCAGTTCGAGTGAATTTTCGAGTCTACAAACACCCTACGGTCAGGCCTGACCTCGCAAGCCGGAAACCGGGAGACATGCAGAAACCCCGAGAGCCAAGACACAGGAAGAAGCTCGAATCCCTTTTGACGACGGACTCAGGGCACTGCAGGGATACCTACTAGCCAGCGCCATGCACATGCATAGCTATCTTGATTGGCTTTCGGGCGAGACACCAAAGTCATTCTGTAGCGACAACTATGTCGAATCTTTGCACCATCCTGAATTTGGAAGCCCGAGCTCTCAGCAAAACCTCGGCACTGCATGTTTTGGAACAGGCCCCCGCATTCTTGCCTAAAAGCCCCATGCAACTCCTTCACCCTACACCCGCTTTCGACCCGGCGGCGCTTCTTGCTCTTCGCAGGACAGCAGATGGCCAGGCTGTATGAGCGGACTCACGTAAGGCGACCTGAGCGACGATTCGCCAAACAGTTTTGTAGGTCCATCGCTAGCCCTGGCGTCCTTCAATGTCCCACACTATATCTCCACATGACTTTATACAGATATTTTCGTCAGTGTCTGGGAGCTCGAAGTCGCCCTCGGCGGCGAAGCTTACCGATGACGACATGGCTTCGCAAGCGGAAGGGATGCTGGGTTTGTTGGCAAAGGCTCCGGCGGCTAACGCTTGGACGCTTGGGGGTGTCGACTCTGGCTACAGGCTGGGTTTAGATGCGTGGTTTCTCCTTTAGCACTTTGCTCAGTTCCTGGCATGGCCACAACTGTCCACAGTGTTACTCGGCAAGTACATTTATCAGGGTTATTCAGGGTTCCTCTTTCCGTTGTATGCCGATGTGTATGGAACTGCGGCGAGGCAGGCGGCAGCAGGCACCAAAAACAGAAGGCACGCAGCCAAGAATCTATCTATCTATCTATCTATCTATCTATATATATGTATATATACATATACATATATAGATATAGATATAGACAGTTATAGATATAGATTTAGATGTATATAATACATTTGCATGCACGGACGGATGTATGGATGGACTGACGGATGGGTGCATGCATGTGTATGTGTATGTATGAATGTATGAATGTATGTATGTATGTATGCATGCATGTATGTATGTAGAACTCATCTGGTTTATTGATTGTCGTTCAGGTGTATCTACGACGCTAGGAGCGTCACATGACACGTATGTCGCCGCGTGGCTGCGGCTATGCCTCTACGACATACATTCCTACAGATGCACATATCGATGCACACATTGAACCGTCAAGATACGAAAGCACTCCCATGGCCCCGAATGCCCATCATCAAAAGCACACTCCTGAGCACGCCGTTCACGAGCTGCATCACCATCTCCTGAAGCTTGCATGATCCCAGTACCGTACTGGCTGCAGCAAGAAGCACATTCGCAGGCTAGCAGGCTCACACCAAACAAGCACCGAGCAAAACACACATGCACAGACACACCCACTCACATTCAAACCTGTACAAGCAAAAGTCTGCAACCCTCCGAGAGCGGTTTTTTCCATCTGCATTCTGGCGGGCGTGCGCCCTTGCGCCACTTGTTAGCGACGAGGAGGAGTTTCTCGATGATAGCAGGTTGCCTTCTCGAAGAAACCATCTTCAACCCAGACAGCAGAACTCTGCAACGAATCTCCATTTGAACCCTTTCCTACCCGCCCTATTGCACAAATTCTCTCCAGAATCTCCACGGTACCGTGATTATTTTGCAGGGTTCGTTCAATACTGTGGAGCTATCAGCCGAACTTAGCACGAGTAGTGTCACGCACCCCCCGTGTCCAGGGAGGAAACGGCCAAGAAAGGCCTGATCTAGGTCAGTGGCCTGTAGCACTGGCGGTAGATGCTACCCGGGCAAGGAACGAGAAAAAAGGTCGGCCGGTGTGAACCCTGGAGGGAGGAGTCGGATGTCAACTTTGATGTCGCGAAACACAGAACATCTGCATATGGTGCTAGCAGCAGGCCGGCACCAGCACTGAGGCAATTCCACGTATGAGGGATGGCGACCGCTGTGGGGTGCCCCATGGTTTGCGGGCATGTTGACTCGACACCAATGATCCGAAGTGTATACCTTTCGATCGTTCGAACAACGGGCAACATCTTCGAGACGGAGATGCGTAGATATCGTAGCTACCGCATCAGCGAACACATGAGTGTTTACAGAAGAAGCAGCAGTCAACGGATCGAGCTGCAGCAGATACGAAGGCACAGTTTGTGGCATGAGGGGCATCTGCGGCGGCAACGACCCTAGAAACATTCTCACTACTTGTGGGCGCTGGAACAACATTGAAAGGTAACAAGGCTTCTGCAAAAAAATAGGAAAGCCGAAGCTTTGGCACTAGAAATATTCGGCGACCTCCACCGACGTTTCTTGCCCGCAGCAACATCAAAAGCACAAAGCCACTGGCCTATCGTCAGTGCAAGGGCTTCACACTTCAAATCGCTGCATCAACGACCCATCCTACTAATGTCTAGGAGGATTCTGGTCCTAGTCCGAACTGAGGAACGAGGAATGCCCATTTGCCGGACGACAGGCATCCAGGCAGTCGCTTAACGATGCCCGTCGGCGCACTTCGAACCATCCACGTGCCTGGGCGAGCTTCGGAGTAAGCCTCGGGCTTTGGATTTTTGGCTGACTATATCTCATCGTCCGATGGTTTCGCGTGCTGAAAGCGGTGCAGAGATGCTGTATGCAGTACACAACACAGCATGATCACGTCTTTGTTGTAGCATCAGCATCCCAAAGCGTGAAACGGAGAATCAGGTGCACGATGCTCACGCGAGAGGGAGTGTGGAGCCGCCAGTGGGGTCTTGGACTTGGGGCACGCTCCGAACAGCATGTGCACATCCGTTTGCCATGTCAAGTTTTATGACATTGTGCTCTACGAGCAGGTGGTGCGAGCACATCTAGTCCCGCTTCAACAGCTGGCACCGCTCCACACTCCCTCCATCCTAAGGCCACTTCAGAGGTGCAACTCCCCTTGCCGCCTCAGAAGCTCATGGAATAGCGCTTTGAGGTTCCCGATGTCGGCTCCCACACGGAGGATCTCCTCGGCAAGAAGAACTTCTGCCCCAGAGCCATGTATGATGCATGTAGCCAATGGGCTAGTGACTATTGAAACCTCTAGCTCCACACAACGGCCCCTCTGCAAGGATCTTGCAAAGTCGCATAAGCCGCCCCTGTCTATAGGAGTCACTGACAAACCAGCTCACCAGGGTTGCACTGAGCAGGTCACGCGACCTGAAGTCTTAGCCAGTAAGCTGCGATATTGTTTCATCGTGGCCACCGCCGCCGTCATCATGAACAAAAACATGCAAGAATTAGAAGACTTCTTAGTCACAAGCAGGCTCACAACGGTGGAAATGTTGTAGCGTCGCTGAACATGAAAGAAATATCTGTGGCCGCCTTAAATTCCGCCCTCTCTGAGCCTCACTAGCAGTTTCCTCCGTGTCACTAGTTATGCCACTCGTTTATCCAAGCGGTCGCGGGTCTTTGAAAAGGCGGTTTGCTGCTGCGAAAGGGCACTAGATTCGGTTCTTAGACTAATTAGGACTAGAGACCCAATTTACGACCAAGCGGCGCCGCGAGTCTTGAGGTTTTCGTGCCTCATCCGCGCCAGTTGGATGCTCTGGGCCGGGCCCTGTGAAAGGCGCATAGCACATAGCGGTCATGGCTTCGTACTGAGTGTGAGGACGGTCGTTCCGGTCAGCCGGATAAACGTGTACTTTTATGCATGTAAGAAGAAGAGTATTTGTATACATTGTAGTACATGATTCCTGGATTTAATATATATATATGTACAACAGCATGCGTGTGTGCATGCCTGTGCGCGTGCCAATGCAACGTGTATACGGGTACCACCTGGTGTTAAATGTGAATTGAAGAAGCCATGCGTTTCGTGCCAAGCTTGTTGGTTTCAGACATTGCAAAGTCTACAGCCGTCACAGCGAGAAACTAGAAACCACAAGCAACACTGACAGTCCCATTGCCAAATACAGGACGCCACGCAAAAAAAGGCGTCGTCGCCATCCTCGTCATATTCGGAGTATTGGTTTGATTAGTGGAGATTGAGCTGGCAAGAGCGATAAACAACAACAGCGGACTTATCACGACTATAGCCGTAGCACGTTAGCAGCAGTTCGTCCCTGCCTGCAATTGCATGCAGCCCGTCACAAATTCTTCCAGCGTAACATCACCGCTTCCGTCAGAATCCATGACCCTTAGTGAATCGTAGACACTCTGGCTTTGGGATAACAGCTCGCTTGAAGAAGCCTCGGGTTGAAGGGTTTACATCTGCATCTCTGGGGCTACCGTACCGAACCGAAGCGCGTAGTTCCACTCTGCATGGAATCGGTTTTGACCACCACGCCTGATGAGACGTTACTATGAGTGACTCTCCACTACGACTAACGGAGCTGGCCAAAACCCTTGCAATCGGTAGGGCACGCAATGCCCACGCACACAGTACTGAATACAAGTACCCAACACTACGACAGTATGAAGCATAAATGGCATAAAGCAGAAACTGTGCGGACAAGAAGTTCGAGTCTTGGCTTTAGCATATGCTGCACAAGGGATCACGAAGCACAGCACTACAGGCAACAGCAACAAGAAGTATGTGCACAGTGCACACATGGGCATGTCACGAATGCAACAGACGATGATACTGCCGCAGAAACAGCATTGGCAAGCCCTCCGAATCGAGGCTTTTTCGGAACTTCTTCATCGTTTCTTCCAAGGGGCATAAACAGCGTCCAGATATCCTGGTGACGCCGGCTGACACATGCACTCAATGCATCAGCAGAAGGAGCTGCAACTGCAAGAGATGTTCGCCAGGCAGGACAACTAAACCAACATGCCGACCTCAATGCAAAAAGTCTTGCGACGGAGCACAGTGCGTTTTTCAAAGACGACTTGTCCCAAATGCGCAGGGACCTGTGTAGAGATGTCCATCGACTCCAAGAAACTCGCGAGTTTCTTCGATTTCAACGCGTCCTCCAAAGCAGAAGCCAAGGAATGACACAAACGACATGAATCCGACCCTGCTGGCACACATTCCAGAATGAAACATGCACGTGTCATAGTCTCCGTGCTGAACCTGTCAACAAAATGCCTTCAGCTCTTGAAGGCTCACGAGGTTCGACTGGTCGTTGTCGATCTCCTGGGTTCAATCCGCACCATGCATGTGCGAAGGCAATCTTCTCGAGATGGAAAGACAAAGGTACTTAGTGAACTATATCATCCAAGAGTCTTTAAACACACCACGAAGTGATTTGAGCTGCTTGGCATGCTTCTGCATTTGCTTCATGATGGCAATGTCCTTCCGACAACCCCGCTGACCAGACGTGCGCAAACTGCTTGCACTTCTGCAAAGTAACTGGACAGGCTCAATGGATTTGCCTTTGCACTCTGACGCCCACTCATGCCAGTCCCGTCATTTGTTCTGTCCCCTCACATGCCTTGTCCGCGCGGGCACTCTCAATGGCGTTGTTGCAGAACACCCCAGTTACCTGAAAGCTTCGGTGTCTGGATGCTTCCGCCATCAAACATCCATATATTATAGCGCACACCTCTCAACAGCTACCGATGAAAAATTTACAGGTCAATCCCAAACCCAAGCGTATGTAACACCCCGTTGGACCTTTTTGGTGAAGCTGGCAAACTGATCAGAAACAGTACGTTTGCACCGGTTTCACACAGTTGGTTCCACGAAGAAGCGAGGGAAAGTTCAAAGCTGGATTTACAATCTGGAACGCAACGCGGTCTTTCAAGCAACTGCATAAAAAGTCATAAAGCATAGGCATCCTCCCGGTACTTGATTATACACACCCAAAACATCTACGAGGACGCAATCCTTTGCCAAAAGCTTCTCATATACGATGCTAACAGGTAGCATTATATACAAAGCTGCGGTTTGGGCCCCAGCGCCCAATATGAAGTACTCCTCTGCCCCAAGGCCTCTTGTGCATGTGGTCAGACTTTCATAACCGCAATGTGGCAATAGTCAGTTTTAACTACACCCCCAATTCTGCCGAGCACAAACATTCCTCGGCTCAGGTTTATATAGCCCGCAGGAAACATCAAAAAAATTAATAAGTCTTAAGCATCAAAACAAATTTAGGCCCACAGTCATCAAAAAAACTGATAGGCCGCAAAAGAATAACATGGCAATTCTGCGGTACTATTCTGCCGCAGACTATTGGATAACTATAATGTCCAAGGTCCTGCCGCGGGCCAAGCTATTGAGGAATGACAAGTTCCAATCGCCTTTTGTGGGTCTAGTTATTAGGGTGGTAGTAGTAGTTGTAGTTGTTGTTATTGTTGTTGCTGTTGGTAGTAGTAGTGCGTAGGCGGATCGTTTGCCCACCTTTGTTTGTGACTTAGCTTGATTTTACTCGCTATTTATGAGCGATTGGGGCTTCACGGGTTCCAGAAATTACATCGGAACTGCACCGTTGCGATTAGGTTTAGCTTGGTGCAATCAGGGCTTTCAAGCGCTCTTCAATTACCATTAGTATTATTACTAATGGTAATTGCTACTACTACTGCTACTACTACNNGTGGTGGTGGTGGTGGTGGCAGTAATAGCGGTAATAGTGGTAGTGATAGTAGTAGAAGTAGTAGCAGTAGTAGCAGTAGTAGTAGTAGTAGTAGTAGTAGTAGTAGCTACTACTACTACTACTACTAGCTCTGACCTGATCGTTTGCCCACCCCTTCTTTCCTCCTCTGCCCCTCTGCCCGCCCAGGTCCGACTTCCTCGCAGCTTTGGGTTCAGCACACACGCACAGACACACACATATCCCATACTCCATCCGTTCATTTCAGCATCCATGTCCCAACCATGATAACGTGCACCCAGACCCCATCCGTTCTGCCAGAGCATCGGAGCATCCATGTCCCAACCATGATAACGTCCACCCAGACCCCATCCGCTCAGCCAGAGCATCCATGTCCAACCATGATAAGGTCCACCCAGACCCCAAACGTTCTGCCAGAGCATCCAAGTCCCAACCATGATAACGTCCACCCAGACCCCATCCGTTCTGCCAGAGCATCCATGTCCCAACCATGATAATGTCAACCCATACTCCATCCGTTCTGCCAGAGCATCCATGTCCTAAGAGGCGCGGGGGGTGTTTTATTCGCAGGTGTATCGTGCCACATCCGACTGTACCTTTGCATGGCTCAAGCAAAAAGTGCATTGTGTTTTGTGCTATCCTCCGCGAACTCCCACTCGTGAAGACGCCGCTGACAATGAATGCACAAGGCATTCCAAAAGCCGCATGAAATTGAAGTCTTCGAGAAGATATCGTCCTGAAGGAAATGCAAGAAAGTAAGCTTGCAATGACACTGACTGTTTGCAGATGCTTGCAGCGACACATAGCGGCAGTGTATGCTTCACAAGGTATGCGACTAGAAAAGGGCAGGCCTAAACCCAAGAACCCAAAGGGGAGGGGAAGTCAAGAGGAAGTCAGGACTGTCACTCAGCATCTCAGAGTAAAATACCCAACACAATCACGTGATATCACCGTAACGATGGGATAATGCGGGTTTTCTCATATGCACTATCCAAGCAAGAACGGCTTCGCCGGCTTCGTCATAGACGGCTGCTGGCCGCGAGGCCACCCAAGTCTAGCCTGAAGCGCCTCAGTAGGGCGACGATGTCGGCCGTCACCCCTGCTCGGGCAAACCCAAAACGTACGAGCATTGTGCCTTGTATCCATGTTGCAAAACGGACAGATGTCACTGCCATGAGCGGCTACACCATAGGCAGATGGACTGCAGCAAGCACCCGTCAAAATGTCAAGACGATCAGCACTGCCCACTTGCCTGAGTGCGAGCTTGCATCGTTGAGCATTTTGAGAATCGTAAGCCATGACAGGGCATCACAAACTGTCGTCATGCTGCGAACATTGCCATTCATTCCAGAAGTGCGCACGGAAGCGTTCATGCAACTGATGAAAGGCAGACTCAGCACTGGAACACCAGTGAGGACTACGTGTGTTCAAAGTAACAGAAGGATGTGCAATGAGATGTTGCCAATGCCAAGGGCTAACAAGCTGCCACCCATACCTTTTCATCATGGCGTGTATGGCAGCTGACCATCCAAGATTCCAGGCCCAAAGTGCAGGGATGAGCCTCGTAAAGGCTCGTTGTCAAGGACTCTCCTGGCAGCAGCACAAGTGGAAGTGAGTGCACGAAGGGCGAAATGAAGCCGATGACCCCTAAGACCAACAGGATCTCTAAGATCAGGGCTGGCATAGCGCGGCTCATGCAAAGCTTTCTTAATGGCCATTTGGACTTTACAACTATATGCGGCTTCATCGACCCGAAATACCCTTATGGTGAAATTGGCTCTTATCATCATTTTCCTTAAGCTGCAAGAGCTCACTCCACGACTTCCAGACCTCAAGAACTTGAAGAGGTTTTGGGGGCACAAGGCGAAGCCCAGGTACGATCATCCACGAAAGTACGCAACTCGGGGTTGAGAAAACGGCAACCTCCCACACGCAAGGAGTAAGAGTTGCCACCATAGCAAGAAGCGAAAATGGATCAGCTTGCGGCAATGAGCGTTGCACTCTCTCAGGTTCGTCAAGGCAACAACCCTGGAAGGAAAGCAGGCCTTGCTATTGTGTGTGACCACTGCTGCATGGTGCTCAAACCATGTGGCAGCCCCAACGTCTTCATGATAAATATGCAGTTTCAGGATCACAAAAATCAAGAGCAATTCTAAAGTCCAAAGAAATAATGTAATGACCTCTTGTTGGACGGTCAAACAAGGGGGCCAATGCATTATAGATTTCCTTTTTTCTTCTTACCACCGATGGCTTGATCAGGCCACCATCGTTGGCACCATGCGTTAGCAAAGCCTAGCCGGGGCCTAGCCGAAGCCCGTAGGCGGTACAAGCAACTAAAGACAGACAACGGCCTCAAGCCGCAAACATCACGTGCACCATCCGCCTGTCTGAGGCCCTTGTTAGTTTTTGGCAAGTGGCTTCGCTTAGCAAGCTGCCATACAATATGCAAGCCCCCAGATGATTCACAGCAAGCGCTAAATCTAGCAAAATGATCAAAGGCACCAGATGGCCAAGAGCTTATTCAATCACCTGGCCAGCCATCTAAGCTGCCAGCTTTACGTTTGAGAAAAGAGGCACAGGCTGCAAACTCATCACGAGTGACGGCGCTCCACTCAGCGTTAAGCTGCCGGCATCAGACCTCGACGCTGACATTCGGTCAATATGCGCTCACGGACGGCGGGCATCTCAACTGCAGGTCTGTCCCAAGCCTGCTTCCAGCAGGCACGTAAAAGCACAAGAGGCGAGTTCAGGCAAGTAATAGCTTCCACGTGCGCAAGACTTTCAGCAAACAAAACTCTAAAGGGCGGCTTCTCTGACGTCTTGAGCCACATGTGAGAAGCAATAACACACACTCTGCAACTTCGCCGGCCAGTTGTCCAGCCGAGCAGAGTTTCCATGGCACGTATTTGAGTCTGAATGTCTTGACCCATCTGAAACAACGACGGATTGGCAGTAGTTTTCTTAACCAGAGACTGAAATTCAATCGTATTTTCGTCTCCCAGGCTACTGAGCTTCCCTCTTTCCCTCATCTGGGCAAGGAAGGTGCGGAATTTTCGGACCTTGAAGGCATTAACCGCCTGATCAAGCTTACCACAGTGACGGAAGGAGGTTTCCCAATGATGAGCGATCGATCCAAATCAGCATCATCTGGATTTCAAAAGATTGTACGTGGAGGCAATCACGCTGGAGTACATGCCTTCCAAAGCAGCATCACACGCGGTGGTGGAGTGGGTGGGGCAGTGTAGGGTGGGGTGGGGTAGGGTCAGGGCAGGGGAGTGGAACGAGTAGGGCAGCGAGGGGCAGGGGGCAGAGTAGGGCAGGAGAAGGGGGCAGTGGTAGCGGACAGAGAGGGCAGGGTGGGGTAGGGAGGGCAGGGAAGAGGTGGATGCTGGGGCAGGCTGTGGGGGGGGGGGGGGGGGGNNTCATAGGAAGGGGGCGGGGTAAAGAAAGAAACTGCATTCAAAATGATTTACAGAATCTAAAAAATTAGAATCGCCTCTACGTAAAATATCTAAAGATTCAAATAATATTCGGGGGTTGGCGAATTTAAATCATCCAAACAATCTAAATCCTCTCCCTTCTACCGCTCAGGACCACCCAGCCCGATTCAAGATAATCCAAATGATGTAAACCGGCCCTATTTAAATTACTTAAAACATTTAAATTATCTTGGGGGGGTTGGCGGACCGCGGATTTAAAAGAATAAATCGGGGCTACTTTTCTATGTCAATCATTTAAGCTATCTAAATTATGCATAATTCGGTTTGATCTAAATTATTTAAACTATTTTAAATGGGCCCGGGTGGCCCTTAACCGGACAATGGGCAGTGATTTAAAATACTTCAACCTTTTCGGTGGTCGGCGGATTTACAAAAAATGTATATAACTTAAATCCTCTCCCTTCTGGCTGCTGAGGACCACCCAGGCCTATTCAAAATAATTAAAGAATAGATATTTTAAATAATCTTAATCGGCTCTATTGAAATAATTTAAGTTATTTTGGTGGGTTGGTGGATATAAATATCCAAAAAAATTGAATCGGCCCTATTGCGTAATTATCTTAACCATTCTCATTATTTGAAAACTATTTGAAATATGTTCGAGGGTTGGCGGATTTAAATACTTTAAATAATTTATAGAAGTCGGCCCTAATTTTTATTATTTAAATCATGTATTTTATTTTTATTCCGCAACAGGATAATCTCCAATGGTTAAAAAGACCCTAAAGGGGCCTCTCCCTGATATAACAGATCTCTATATATATATATAGAGAGAGAGAGAGAGTAACATACACACAACAACGTGGTACAAGACTTCCGGCGGTGCTAAACGAACTCATCGTGCCACTGAAGCCAGCATGCATTGATGCATGCTGCTCTGGTCAACGGCCCTCGAGATTCAGAAATGTTCGAGCACGTGTGAGGAACGAAAATGAATGCAGGAACTGTGTTTCGAGGATCCTGAAGCATGACACACGCCGAAGGATGCAACTGCAGCTTCGCCAAGTCTCAAAAGACATGTGCCTAGTTTGGGGTGCTGTTTGCTCTGAGGTTGTTAGGCCGTGTCTGGAGATGTGTCCGCACCGGACGGCTAAAACAGAAAGCAGCACTGGCACAAACGAAGTCTTTCCTTCAGCTCATGTATTTGCCCTTCCGCCAATGTGAGCCGCCGGCTTGAGGTGTGGAGCTGTAGCAATGCATCTTTTGGCTGGAAAACATGAAAATAGGGTCTTGCAAAATCACGTCAGTTCGCCTCTATGCTTGGCTGCAAAAGAACGAAACGGAGCACTCATGCACACCTGGAGCACCGGCAACCGAAAACCGCTGCCGTGAAACGACGTTCAAAATCGCTAGGACTGTGAGCACGATGTACACCACCATGCACAGGAAGGCGATCTCAGAGACCTGACGTGACGATGCGCGGAAGGTCGAATCAGGGATCAATTCAAACTGCTTGATTTCAGGGCGTCCACAACCCTTCTGTCTGTCTTTCATCACCGTGCTGCTGTCTTCACCCGGGCTTCTCAGGACACGGTAAGCTCCGTGGATTCCTGTCCGTACCGCTGCTCTTCTGACACAGAACTGCCCTTCACATACATGCATACATACATACGTACATACAGACAGAAAGGCAGACAGACAGACAGACAGACGGAGAGACAGACAGAGACACAGATAAACCTACGACACGCACACATAAACATGCATACCTGCATTCATGGATGCATGCATACATACGTACATAAACATGCATACCTACATACATTACATACATTACATACATTACATACATTACATACATAACATACATTACATTACATTACGTTACATTACGTTACATTACATTACATTACACTGCATTACATTACATTACATTACATTCCATTCCATTGCATTGCATTACATTACATTACATTACATGCATGCATACATACACACATACATTACATACATTACATACATTAGTTACATTACTTACATTACTTACATTACATACATTACATACATTACTTACACTACATTACATTACATTACATTACATTAAATTACATTACATTTACATACATACATAGATACATACATCCACGCATCCATACATACATACATACATACATACATACAAACATACATAAATGCATGCATACATTCATCTGTGCTTGCATGCATGCATGCATACAACGACAAAATACTTACATACACACACGTACACATGCACACAAGATACACATGCACGTGCACATACGCGTATTTATACACACGTGCGTTTACATTCACATGCACATACATACACATACAGACATACATACTTACTTACGTGCATACATACATCCCTACATACGCACGTGCATACAGACAAACAGAAGTACACACATACATAACTATATACACATGCATACATCCATACATCCATACATACATACATACATACATACGTACATACATACGTACATACATACATACATACATACACATACCTACCTACCTACCTACCTACCTGCCTGCCGACCTGCCTGCCGACCTGCCTACCT